GGTTAAGATTGGGGGGGCGCGGGGGCGGGGACAAATGGAGGGGAGCGCGGGGGAGGGGGAGGAGAGGGATGCGGGGGTGCGGCCGAGGAAGCGGTCTCCGCGCCCGAATCGCTGGGTGCCTCCGCTTAGCCTGGTCTCCCACCCTCTGCTCGCCGAGGGAGAAGAAGAGGGAGAGAACGGTGGGTGGGGTGGGGTTGGGTGGGTGGAGGTGGACACGGTGTGCGCGCGCATCATTTCCTTCTTTATTACCGCCCGCTCCTGCCCGGCCCCGGCAGCCATCATCACGCCCGCCCCATAATTAATTTCCTGGCTAATCCCGCGTGCAAACTCATTCATTCATTCATGAGAGTTTTGGACAAATGTTTCTTGAGCAAAATATAAAACTTCTCTTTTTTTTGCGAGGGAAATATAAAACTTCTTACTGGCTATGTATTGCAAACAGTTGATTGTGTGTACATTTCTAGCCTGATTCCCGAGGCGGACGGTAAGAATCCACCGAGTATCCGGTACGGCTAGCTGTATCGTCATAAATGTAGGGGTTGTGCTATGTTGGTCGCCAGTCAGGCCAGCTTGATTGGACAGAGCTCTCACGTGTGGTCAAAAAGGTTGTAACGTTTGCTACGAGGCGGACAGTAAGAATCCGTTATGTATTCTTGGTAGGGTTAGCCGTATCGTCATAAATGTAGGGGTTGTGCTACGCTGGCTGTAAGTAAGACCAGCTTAACTGGACAGAGATCTCACGTGTCGTCCAAAAGGTTGTAACACTTGCTACGAGGCGAAGAGTAAGAATCCATTATGTATACTTGGTAGGGTTAGCTGTATCGTCATAAATGTATGGGTTGTACTACGCTTGTTGTAAGTAAGGCCGGCTTGATTGGACATAGATCTCACGTGTCGTCCAAAAGGTTGTAACTCTTGCTACGAGGCGAAGAGTAAGAATCCATTATGTATACTTGGTAGGGTTAGTTGTATCGTCATAAATGTATGGGTTGTGCTACGCTGGCCGCCGGTAAGGCCGGCTTGATTGGACAGAGATCTCACGTGTGGTCGAAGAGGTTGTAACGCTTGCTACAAGGCGAACAGTAAGAATCCATTGTGTATCCTTGGCAGGGCTAGTTGTATCGTCGTAAATGTAGGGGTGGTGATACGCTGGCCGCCAGTAAGGCCAGCTTGATTGGACAGAGATCTCACGTGTGGCCAAAAAGATTGTAATGCTTACTACGAGGCGGGCAGTAAGAATCCACCGTGTTCTTGGTTGTATCGTCGTAAATGTATGAGTTGTGCTATGCTGGCCGTAAGTAAGTCTCGCTTGCTTCGATAAAGATTTCATATTTTTGTTGTCGAAAAGGTACAATGTGGGTTTGTCTACCTTTTTCTTGCGCTTGTTGTCACTAAAGATCTTCTATGTTAGCTTGATGGTATGGTTCTTCCGTAAGGTGCATCAAGGAGGATGATGTTGATGATGACATCATCATAAATGTAGGGGTTATCCTACGTTGGTCACAAGTAAGGCCGGCTTGATTCGATGAAGATCTCGCTTTTCATCAAAAAGATGCAACAATTGTTTTGAGCCAGACAATTTGAAAATGTAGGGGTTGGCAGGATTAGCTGTATCATCATAAATGTAGGGGTTGTGATACGTTGGCCGCTAGTAAGGCCAGCTTGATTGGGCAGATATCTCACGTATGGTCGAAAAGGTTTCAACGCTTACTACGAGCCGGACAGTAAGAATCCACCATATTCTTAGTTGTGACATCATAAATGTACGAGTTATGCTATGCTGGTCGTAGGTAAGGATCGCTTGATTCGATAAAGATTTCACCTTTTCTTGTCCAAAAGGTATAACATGTGTTTGTCTACCTTTTCCTTTCGGTTATGTTAGCTTGATGATATGGTTCTTCAGTAAGGTGCATCAAGGAGCGGGGTGTTGATGACACCATCATAAATATAGGAGTTATGCTACACTAGCCGCAAGTAAGACCAACTTGATTCGATAAAGAGCTCGTTTTTCATCGAAATGATGCAACCATTGATTTGAGCCATACAATAAGGATCCATCGTTTCCTAGGAAGGGCTACTTGTGTCATTATAAATGTAGGAGATGTGCTATGCTGGCTGCAGGTAAGGTCACCTTGATTCGATGGAGAACTTGCTTTTCATCGAAAAGATGCGACGGTTGTTCCGAGCCAGGCAATAAGGATCCATTGTTTCATTCGTAGGGCTAGTTATGTCGTTATAATTGTAGGAGATGTGATACGTTGACCCCAAGTAAGGCCAGCTTGATTCGATTAAGATCTCAATTTTCATCGAATACCAAGATGAAGTAGCCCCTCTTAATAGTAAGACTTCTTACAGGCTAGGAACAAACAGTTGACTGTGTGTAGGTTTCTAGTTTGATTTTCAAGGCAGGTGGTAAGAATCCACCGTGTATCCTTGGTAGGGTTAGTTGTGTCTTCATAAATGGAGGGGTTGTCTCCAAGGGGCCAACCCTGCCCCTCTATTTATATGTTGAGCCCTGAGGTCGCAACTTGGGGTGGGGGCCTCCTAAAAGTTGGTTTGAAACACAAGGAAGAGTCCTCCCCGGATTCCAGCACGAAACGGACCTCGGCGTCTGGCACAATACTAGATGCCAAGGACCCTGGCGCCTGGCCCCTGTCCTCCGAAAAACTCGGGCCTTGTGGGCCTTACCCCTTGGCCCAAGCCAAGGTGTCCTCGCACCAGAACATTTCTAGAAACACCCAAAACTCTTTTGGAACTCTCTTGAAACTATTTCTTATATTCTTAGAACTATTTTGAGAATATTTTCTCATAATTCTTGCTACACTAACACTCATCAAATCGTGATTCCCTTATGCTTGTGACCCTATATGTTCAGTAAAACATAGACATGAACAAAACCCCTTTCGTTCAATGACCAATAGTGGAGTCGTGGACATCCATGTCAGTCCCTATGAATACACGAATGACATTCGAGTGAACCTTTGGTTATCATGTGATTCCCTTTGCTTCGCAATACTTTACAAAACCCAAGGTGAGATATGTTGGTATCCTCTTAAGTCATACACATGTTCACTATACCGGTTTGTGATACATCTTCAACGTATCTACTTTGTCTCACACTTTTCCTCTTGTTTTGGACTCTAATTTGTATGATTTGAATGAAACTAACCCCGAACTGACGCTATTTTCAGCAGAACTACCATGGTGTTGTTTTTGTGCAGAAATAAAAGTTCTCGAAATGGAACGAAACTTTGCGAGGATTTTTTATATCAATAATTAGAATTTCTGGAGCCAAGACCCACCGGAGAGGGGCCCTGCTACCTCTTGAGCATGCGTTGGTTTTCCCCTTGAAGAGGAAAGGGTGGTGCAGCAAAGTAGCGTAAGTATTTCCCTCAGTTTTTGAGAACCAAGGTATCAATCCAGTAGGAGGCTCCTCAAAAGTCCCACGCACCTACACAAACAAACAAGAACCTCGCAACCAACGCGATAAAGGGGTTGTCAATCCCTTCACGGTAACTTGCAAAAGTGAGATCTGATAGAGATAATAAGATAAAGTAAATATTTTTGGTATTTTCATGATATAGATTGGAAAGTAAAAGATGCAAATAAAAGTAGATGGGAAACTTATACGATAAAAGATAGACCTGGGGGCCATAGGTTTCACTAGTGGCTTCTCTCAAGATAGCATAAGTATTACGGTGGGTGAACAAATTACTGTCGAGCAATTGATAGAAAAGCGAATAATTATGAGATCATCTAGGCAACACATCCATGACAAGTAGACCGACTCCTGCCTGCATCTACTACTATCACTCCACACATCGACCGACTCCTGCCTGCATCTAGAGTATTAAGTTCATGAAGAACAGAGTAACGCATTAAGAAAGATGACATGATGTAGAGGGATAAACTCATGCAATATGATATAAACCCCATCTTTTTATCCTCGATGGCAACAATACAATACGTGCCTTGCTGCCCCTGCTGTCACTGGGAAAGGACACCGCAAGATTGAACCCAAAGCTAAGCACTTCTCCTATTGCAAGAAAGATCAATCTAGTAGGCCAAACCAAACTGATAATTCGAAGAGACTTGCAAAGATAACCAATCACACATAAAAGAATTGAGAGGAGATTCAAATATTTCTCATAGATAAACTTGATCATAAACCCACAATTCATCGAATCTCAAAAACACACCGCAAAAAGAGTTACATCGAATAGATCTCCAACAAGATAGAGGAGAACTTTGTATTGAGATTCAAAGAGAGAGAAGAAGCCATCTAGCTAATAACTATGGACCCGAAGGTCTGTGGTAAACTACTCACAACTCATCGGAGATGCCTTGGAGATGATGTAGAGGCCCTTCGTGGTTGATTCCACCTCCAGCGGAGCGCCGGCGAAAGCTCCAAGATGGGATCTCGCGGATACAGAAGGTTGCGGCGGTGGAAATAGTTTTTCTCCTGGATGTTTTCAGGGTATATGGATATATATAGGCGAAGGAGGTAGGTTAAGGGAGCCACGAGGGGCCCACGAGGGTGGGGGGCGCGCCCACCCCCCTAGGGCGCACCCTC